TCTGTGAGCTGACTCCGCTGATGTGGAAGGGACAGTCTCTACTACCTATTAATTATGTGTGCCATGTGCAGGTGGGAAATCACTTATTCTTGAAACAACTTCTAAGAAGGGACTCTGTGAAGTAGGTGGCCAGTGCCATTGGGTACTCCTCATGTGCGCCTAGATTTGCCTTTCTGTGAATGAATTCACTAAAGGAGTCAAATCAATATGGAATAGAATTTCCAAGGATTTCCTTTTGTGTGCCTGAGTATTTAGTTTTGTTCTTGATGAAGCAGTCATCCCACCTTTGGCTTTTTTCAAGCCCCTACTATTCAATGTCTAGAAGGTCTCACCTGTTTGTGAAGCTATTTCAGGGAGTCACTACGAATCAAAGATGCTCACGCTCACCGTGCATTACACCTGGATTTCAACCCAAATTTGCAACATATGTTAGTGCTTTTGGTGATTTTCTGCTCTTCTGTGTTGTTTATTGTTATTATTTATTACCCGTTTAGCGTAGCCTCCTGTGGCGATGACGGTGCCGTCCGGTTGTGGGATTGGCGGAATCCCAACGTCGCGCTGGTGACTGTGACTCCACATGCGCACTGGGCTTGGCAGGTACTGTTCAGTTCGAGTAATAATAGACCACAAGAGAAATTTGGTAGGTGTGCGATCGCGCTATCTGCAGCGGTGGCACCTGTGAAGGCTTGCAACTACGCCCTTACCTTCAGACGCGTCGGCAAAGATCTGGGGCTGGGTGCGGCAAGGCAACTCGAGGATGGGTCCGCGAAATCGCGTCTCTGCTCTGATCGATGACGCAACTCTCATGGTCAAGAACAGGGGAAGCGTCCAGAGATGATCCAAAGACGCAGCAGAGTTTTGAGGACCCATCCCCTAGTTGGAGCTTGCTGCACCCCGCCCCTGGTGTGTGTCGAATTTTGATATCTGGGTACCAATAGGTTGTTGATGTGGAAGCGGCAAAAGGGATACTGAGAGGCATTCGCGACATAGAGCCCTCAATCTTGTCCCTATCTCCATTCGACGCTCATGCTCGTTCCACTCGATCCACGATTGGAGCAGCGCTGCGAAATATTGGTGTACGTCACACCACGCGCGATAAAGCAGTTGGTCAATACTATATCCTGTGCGGTTTAGTTGCACTTAGTCAGTATCACGTACGGTGAGCAAGCGCGGCGCGCGAACTATAAAAGGCATCCGAAAGAGAACACAATGTTCTCCCGTAATATTAGCGATTTCATAGTAGATCCTCCAATTGTAACGATCGTATAGCATTAGACATATCGATCGTCTGATCGGATTGGAAGAACGATACGTATCTAATGCTGTGCCATATTACGATCGGACGACCGAATACTAAAGGATCCTGTGCAGATAAAGTGTGCGCGACGCCTGTGGTCACATCCTACGACTAGCAATATATGTTGCTTAGCTTGTTTTCAGGTTCGATTCCATCCCGTGCACGATCAGCTGATTTTATCAGCTGGTAGCGACGCCACGGTCGTTCTGTCGTGTGTTCTTTCCGCAAGCAGTGAAGTGGGCGATATGGGTCTAGATGATGCAGCAGAAGATGACGAAGTTGACAAACTCGAGGATGGACAGTTGGAACGGATCGAGGAGCACGAGGAGTCCGTGTACGTTTTTAATATATTCAATTTTGAGACTTCGTGCTCGGGTGAGCCACAATCGAAGATTT